TGAGATGCTGGTTCCTGAAGGTGGAGGGTTAGCCAGTTGAGCCATTGTGCCAGTTTGAAGCCTTTTGCACCATTGCATTTTGTGAGGATACTACTTGTGCCATGAAGAAGCAGGCTTTGAATTGTGTTTGAACTTCAGATCTGAGCCTTACTGCCTCTGATATTATTCAAAATTCTCAGCTTCTCTGAATCTGTTCTTTCAAATCATCTATTAACTAGAGGTTGTAGTGACTTTAATAAATATGATAGAAAATACAATTCTTAGCGCATGGCTTTTCATAGAAATAAAAACTTATTTTGGGCCTGATGCGATAGCCTAGTGGCTAAATCTTTGTTTTGCATCTGTCAGGATCCCGTATGGGAGCCAGTTTGTGTTCTGGTTGCTCTACTTCCCAACCGGCTCTTTGTCTATGGCCTGGGGAAACAGTCGAGGATGGCCCAATGCCTTGGCACCCTGTACCCATGTGGGAGACCAGGAGGAGGAGGCTCCTGGCTCCTGGCTCCTGGCTTCAGATTATCTCAGCTCTGGTGGCTGCAGTCATTTGAGGAGTGAACCAACAGATGGAAGGTGTTTCTCCGTCTCTTCTTCACTTTGTAAATCTGACTTTCCAGTAAAAATAAATTTTAAAAAAACAACTTATTTTTAGGGCCTTCTGTCTCACGTTCAGCAGATAAAGTTCCTGACGGTGTAGTAATTTTCTGCTTTAGGGATTTAAAGACATTTGTGTCATCTTCTGCTTTAACTTGGTCTAAGAACTGTAGAGCAGTTTATATTTGCCAGTTGCTTGGTGAACGTGATCAGCATTTTATTGTTACGACTAATACTGACTTGGAAATTCAGTAAGCTCCCAGTATCTTTTCCCGTCATGTAGTCACTTAGTTGCTTAGAACCAACTCGGTGGCACACCTGAGCTTCGCAAAGCTTGTCCACCTTGGAGCAGTCCCACCGTGGAGCAGTACCGCAGTCTAGTATTAGGGTCCTAGTGAACTTGTCTGATTGTAGCCAGGGGGTGGAGGGAGGAAGGGAGGGAGAGAGAATGAATGAATGAATGAATGAGTATCTCTTTTATCTGGTGCTACATCACTGCCCAAGTGGCTGTGATAGTCATGGCTGAGTTAGCCTGAGGCCAGGAGCCAGTACCTTGAACTAGAGCTCCTTTGTGGGTGACGGGGGCCCAACCACTTGGGGCATGTTCTGCTGTTTCCCCCACCACTAGGAGGGAGGTGAATTACAAGTGGGGCAGCTAGGACATGAACCGGTGCTCGTTTGGGATGTTGGGGTCACAGGTATTGGCTTTACCTGGCCTGCCCCACCAGTCAGCCTGGAATTTGTCAGTTTGTCATACTGTTACAAGCCTGTGTACCTCGATTTTTATTCCAGGTTCTTGTCCCCAGAGTGGAGGTGTCATTATGACAGGACAGGAGTTATTGGGGAAAGAACGTACCTGATGGCCGTGTGGCCTGTGTGCTGAGCTGCAGGAGTACTGTCGGGTGTACAGCTGTGAACCGAAACCAGATGTGAGCAGCAGCTGACTCGCCCTGTTTGCTCCTTGATGTACCAGGAGAAGACAGTCTCTTCTGGGAGGTTTCCAGAAACTCTGTTTTTAGGCTCATGTTCCTAACAGGAAGGCAGAAAGGTGAACAAGGTAGTGGGAACAGCAGGTGTTTCCAAAGCAACCAGCTGGAGCTTTCTTGACTTTCATTTTTGTTTTATGTAACAGTACTGAAACTATTTACCTGGAGTGTAGGTCATGCAGCTGCAGAGCTGGAAGAGGCAGTTGCTGTCTCCATACTCACGAGAGAAAATTGAGCTCTACTCCACGAGGTGTGTCGAACAGGCTTCCATGTGGGATGTTGCCGCCACAGGTGGAGGCTTACTGTGCTATGCCACAGCGCTGGCCTTTTGAACTGGGTTTGGAGGGTTGGTGAAGAGTTGGGAATGAATGAGCTGGGTAGGCTAGAGGAAGGACTAGTGTAAGAAGCTGGATTCAGAAATGGGAAGTGGGGTAGTTGAGTATGGGGAGCGAGGAGACTAGGGCGTGGGTAAGTGTCTCTGCTTGGTTTTGTTCATGCTTGGTCTCCGTCTTTGTCTCCTCTCCTTTGAGTGGGAGGACGGCTGTGAGGAACAGTTGGGTAGGTAAGAGCTTGCCACGGGGGCTTTGGTGCGCCACGTGGTGAGCGTCCACAGAGCGAAGGACACTGTTGAACTGTTGTGCTAGGCAGAGATCTCTAGCGGCCTGGCGGCGTGGTCTGCTGGAGACTTCGCTGTTGCTGTATTCCTGAAAGCTCACTGTACTGGTGAGAAAATTGAACTGAAGGGGGCACTGCAGTAATGACTAGTTAGAAGCTTATTGCAACAATGTAATGTGAACTTGGAGAGCAAGGGGTGAGTTCCAGGATCACCAGAGGTTTTGGGTCTGGGAGGAAAGTGAGGCGGAAGAGCCGAGGGTAAAAGAGCTGAGCTGGGTGGCTGGTGTGGCGAGGGGCGCTGTGCAGGCCGGATCTGCCTGAAGTATTTTACCTGCGCTCTTCACTGTCTGCGACTCTGGGAAGTTAGAGAACCCGAGGTAACAAGAAGAATTCTTTGGCAGATTCTTTTTTACTAAGTTTACTATTTCAGGTAGGAGAGGAGACGACAATCTTCCTCCCTTCTCTCCTACTCTCTGTATATCTGTCTTTCCAATAAAAATAAGTAACTAAGAAAATTAGTGCTTCTAAGTGGACAGTACACACTATCTCCCCAGTGTAATACATACTTACTCATTTACATGAAAATCAGAGCTAGAGGGGGAGAAGTAGGTGTTCATGTGCTGGCTCGCTTCCCAGATGGCCACGGTGGCTGCGATGGGCCAGCAGAGCCAGGAGCTTGTTTTGGCTCTCCCACATGAGTGGCATGTGGCTTTCCCAGGCCGTGAACCGGCAGCTGAATTGGTTGGAGCAATGGGGACGTGCACTGGTGCCCACGATGCCACAGTGCCGTCCCCTGGTGTGTGTGTGTAGACCTCTTAGTTATTGCTTGATGGAGTCATCCGTTCAGGTTGTCCACATCTTTACCCATCCGATTGCTCTGTTTCTCTTGCCTTTCCCTGCCTGCAGTCACTTTCTTTTGCCTGAGAATACTTTTTACTAATTCTTTTTTTTTTTAAACATTTAGTTTTTTTTTTTTAAAGATTTTATTTTTATTGGAAAGGTGGATACACAGAGAGGAGAGCCAGAGAGGAAGATCTTCTGTCCGATGGTTCACTCCCCAAGTGAGCGCAGCGGTCCATGCTATGCCGATCTGAAGCCAGGAGCTCTTCTGGGTCTCCCACGCAGGTGCAGGGTCCCAAAGCTTTGGGCCGTCCTCGACTGCTTTCCCGGGCCACAAGCAGGGAGCTGGAAGGGAAGCGGGGCTGCCGGGATTAGAACCGGCGCCCATATGGGATCCCGTGCATGCAAGGCGAGGACCTTAACCACTTGCGCCACCGCGCCGGGCCCTAAACATTTGTTTTTATTTTTGGAAAGGCAGATATACAGAAAGGAAGAGAGACAGGAAAATCTTCCATTTGCTGGTCTACTCCCCAAGCGAGCACAACGGCCAGTGCTGCGCCGATCCGAAGCCAGGAGCCAGGAACTTCTTCCGGGTCTCCCACATGGGTGCAGGGTATCAAGGCTCTGGCCTGTCATTGACTGCTTTCCCAGACCACAGGCAGGGAGCTGGATGGGAAGTGGGGCTGCCGGGATTAGAACTGGTGCCCATATGGGATCCTGGCACATGCAAGGCGAGGACTTTAGCCACTAGGCCATTCTTGTCTGTTTCCTCTAGCTTCCTCCCTCTCCCCTCCATCTATGGACCTTTTCTCACAGACCTGATATTTTGTTGTAATGGATCAAAAAATTCTTTGGAAGCCTTAAGTATATGAATGTGGCTTTGTGAGTCTCAGGCTTGCAGGGGAGATATTCTGGGTAGGCCATTTGTTGGGGAATCCCAGTGTTGGCTTCTGGAATATTCTAATGATCTCTGTCCTGCAGGGTGGCCCTGACTGCCCCAGGAGGGTGGCGAGCTCAGCATGCGTTCCGTGACCGTCCAGCCCTGTTGAGTACTGTCAGGGTTGAAGGCGTCGGGATGAGGCTCTTGTTGGAGTGTGTGCAGATGGCACGCAGCCCTTCTCTTGTTCTTGCCCCCAGGTCTGCCTGCTGTCCTGAGCTGTCTGACCCTGCGCTGGGACTGGGTTCTCAGTGCGGTTGCCTGCTGACTTCGTTCAGCTCTGGCTTGGACTGCTTAGTCACTCCCTGCTTCCAGTCTGCCATTGTTTCTACTTCCTCCAAGGTTTTTTCTTTTCCGTTTTTCCTGTTTGCTTTGGGTTCTGTCTTCCTTGGTAGCTTTACTAACAGCTGAAGGTTCTTTTCCTGCTGTAAGTTCCCTTGTTGGGTTTCACATTTTAAAAAGTTTTTATTTTCATTTGTTTTAATGCCTCTTCAGTATAACTTTAGTGAGAGGAAGTGGAATAGATGTGTATACTGAACTTACTACTGAACTCTGTGCCAGCTTAGTTTATCTTGTTGGCATTGGGCAGTTGTCAGTTCTGTGATTTGTGCTGACTTCAATCAGACCCATGCCGTGCCCAGGGTGGACACTTAGCCCCAGCTCCTGGCTTGGTTGCCACTGCAGCCTCTGGGGAGCAGCGATGATACCTCGAGTTGGAAACATGGGGGAAACATGTGTGAGTCCAGCTCAGCTCTGACCACTGTGGATTGGGGATGGTGGGAAATCTCTCTCTGTCTCTTCAAAAACAAGTGTGTGTGTGTGTGTGTGTGGGGGGGGGTGCGGTGTGTCTTAAAGAGGCCGAGACACAGATATGTGTGCGTGAGTATGGACTTGAGGCAGCCTTGGTGCCTTCCTTTGTCTGAGCTCTAGTGCAGTGTGTGCGGGCTATGGAGAAGTCAAGATGAAGGTGGTTGAGCTTTGAAAAAGGTTAAGGAGGCTCTTTGTATAATCGGGTCTTTTGAAATTTTTTTTAGGTTCTCTGTGTTATGGAAAGAAGAAAGAGAAACTAGGAGTATTTTTAAAAAATCGTTGATTCCTCCTTAAGTTATTGTGGTCTTCTGAACTGTGAGTATAATTCTCCTGCTACATTTGTGTCTTGACTTTCTATTTTATCTGCTTTGTGTTTCACTTATTAGAGTGTGACTAGAGTAGAAATGGAAGGTAATTGGTTTTACAGAATAGGTGAAGCAAGAAAGTTGTTTAATGCTACTGTGTCTAGCTGCTTCATAAACGTACTGCTCTCTGTGATAAGCAAGAAGTATATGTTATTGGTTAATCGTAGTTACAATTACAGATTAGATTCTCATTTTTCCCATTTCTTGTGGTATAAGCTGAAATCCAGACCAAGGTTAGACCGAGGTTAGACAGAATGCAGAGCTGGGCTCACAGTGGCTCTGGCTTCTGAGTTTTGTGTTTCTGCTACCTTGTTCTTGTCTCTGGGTTCAGCGTTGATGTGGCTGCATACAGCAGTCCACGTAGCTGCATACAGATCCACGTGGGGTGCTCTCCAGGATTGCCAGTGGGTCCCCCAGTCACTGACAATCCTGAAACGCATATGTATGTTGTGTTGTTCGCTTACACACCAAACATACATAAAATGTAATTTTTAATTTGAACATAATTACTTAATGTAGATCTTAGCAACCTCGGTAGATGATTTTTATTCTTTATTAAGTGAAGAACTTCCTTTTTTGTTTTATTTATTTTTATTGGAAAATCAGATATACAGAGAGGAGGAGAGACAGAGAAGGATCTGTTGATTCACTCCCCAGTCAGCCACAATGGCCGGAGCTGAGCTGATCTGAAGTCAGGAGCCAGTAGCTTCTTCTGGGTCTCCTGTAGGACATTCAGGATCTTTGCTATTGTGGGAGACAAAGCCAGTTACTTTAATAACAATTTCCTAGTGCCTTCTCTCCGACTTGTTTTTCTGTGGAGTCAGTCAAACGTCCTAAAGAGTCAGCATACGATTCTCCAGCTCCTTGGATGATTTTTGTATAACTGCCTGCAAATTCAGACCCAGTGTCAGCGTTCTCCCAGGCCCACAGCGCTGCGTCTTGTATGTGGGTGGAGCGCAGCTTGAGTAGCTGTATCTGCTGCTCTGTAGTAACCCACTGTCCATCTCCGACTAACATATCATAAGTCAGTTGCCCCCCTCCAGGGAGTTGCCGACCTGATGCTCCTAAGGATCGCAATTTTTCCTTAGCCATATCGCTCCTCCACATTTTCCACTGTAAATATTGAGAAGGAGAAAGCCCTGTTTTTGCTACTACTTCCACATCATAAAGAATCCAGTTTGCTCCCTGGCTCCAGCCATTTAAATATTCCCTCATATGTGAAGAAGTAGGTCCGTAAGACACACAAGCCTTTTAAAAAGCTGTGATGGCATTAACATTTAGGCTTTCATAGGTAGGTTGTGTTAGATTCGCCACTCGCCAAATGTTAAATTTGTCACTGGCCAAAATGTTAGATTTGCCAACCACCAGGGAAAGAATAACTCAGCCAAATATATGAAAAGAATTTAGATGGCCTTTGTTTCAGGGAACCGCAGTCACTGACTTCCCTTCCCCGCGCAGCAGAAACACCAGAAGTGAAGGAGTGGGCTGCAGAGGAAGAAGAGCCAGAAGAAACGGGAAGGGGTCCTTTTAAACTCTCCTTGACACGGAAGCTGAGACGGGGTCACCTCGGCCCTTATGGGGGGGGATATGGGTCTGTGCCCCTCATTGGTGCAGTGGTTGGTCTCACAGCCTGAGGGCCCACCAGAGTTCTACCACCTGTTCCTGGTCTGGTTGGAGGCAAACTCCACCCTTCTCTGGTTACCATGGTAGCCATCAGGTTGATTATTTTCTTGACTAAGTATAATTGGAAAAAGCAGTCGAAATTCATGAGGTCTCCAGGGATTACCAGACATTTGGAAAAGTCTTTGATCAGATTTAAGAGTGAGATGGCGTGGGCTGATGTTTAACTGTTCTTTTATCCCATCCTCATTTACCTCACTAGAAGATTCAGAGAAGTCATGGGATTTTACTGTTTTAACATGGGAAGCTTTAGTTTCTTTTCTAATTACATTGCAATAGCATCTCTCATTACGAGAATCTCTCCTGAGTTTTCTTTTTCTAATTTCCACATCTGTAGTTTAAGGCCTTTCTCTTTTAGCCGCATTACAGCGGTGTCTCCTCGTGGGAGGGTCTCACACGTCCTCTTTCATCTTCATCTGTAGTATGAGCCATTTCTTCCCTGGCCACATTGTGGTGGCACCTTCCCTTAGGGAACTCTCACCAGCTCCTCTCTGCCATCCTCCTCCTCTGTACTATGAGGCATTGCTTTTTTAGCCGTATTACAGCGGCCTTTCCTGTTAGGTGGGCCTAGTAAGGGCTCTATTTCTCTTTCTTCCTTGTCTGTAATATGAAACATTTATTTTTTAGCTACATTTTGGGAGTGTCTCCTCTTAGAGGAGTTTCTTGCAGGTTCCCCTTCTAAAATTATAATAACAGCTTTAATTAAAGCCCATGTAATCCAAAAACTAACATGAATATCTTCTATCCTTCCGGCCTTTTCACCATTTTTCTGAGTAAAATTCTTAAATTCAGTTTCTAGTGTCCCTTCATCTGGAGACCAAGGATTATATTCACAAATAAGCTCTAAATAAGAACACAGTTGCTGCCTAGTTACCTTTGCCTCACTTTTCACTGAAAATTTCTGCGTAAGAGAGATGAAAGGCTGTGCTCTGCACTGGTTCTGGCCCATTTTCCCACTCACCCCTTTCTGTGGGGGTCTCCGCAGCACACATAACAAGTCGCTGTCCAGGCGCCACTTGTCACTGTCCAGCAGCGATGGACTCGGTGCATGGAGACAATCATAACATGCTTGGACTACTGACTGATGGTCAATAGCCAAAGTTTATTAACAGCACCAGACTTTTAAAGGAAGGTTGTCACATAGGCATCCAGGGAGGAGGGGCTTGAGCCATTTACATCTCAACAGCAAGGTACAGTTCCCCAAAACACAGCTAGTTCCTCTAGCAGGTTTAGAGAAAACCTGTGAACAGGATGTATCCTGCTCATTCATCTCCTTATCAGTTGCTCCTGGCTCCTTCAGGGGAGATTCAACTGGCTATGTCTCCCACAGCAGCAAGGATTCTGAATGTCCTGCAGTCTCCCACAATGGGTGCAGGGTCCCAAGGCTTTGGGCTGTCCTTGACTGCTTTCCCAGGCCACAAGCAGGGAGCTGAATGGGGAGCTGGGCCACTGGAACTAGAACCAGCGCCCACATGGGATCACGGTGTGTTCAAGGCGAGGACTTTAGCCACTGGCCTACCACACAGGGCCCAGAGCTTCCTTTTTAAGATTATTAATTTCTTGTTTTTGAGAAAGAGAGAGGAAGAGTTCTTTCATTCTCTGATTGTCTCCCCAGGTGGTGCAATGGCCAGTGCTTATCCAGGTTGAAGCCTCGAGCTTCATCTGGGTCTGCCACGTGGATGACAGGGGTGGAGTGGGGCTGCAACACTTGGGCTATTCTCTGCTGCTTTCCCAGGCCATTAGCAGACAGCTGGATCAGAAATGGAGTTGCTGAGTGCTGACGTAGCAGGTAGCAATATTATACTGTGGTGTGATGCTCCCCTGGAGCTGGTGAGCATTCGTTACACTAGTTACACGTATGCTAAGTCCTCAGAATTGCTGCTGACTTCCAGCTATGCAATCTGACCTGGTTACTGTGGTAGGAGTGCCGGCCGTGGGTTGTCGCTGCATTTCCGTGTGAGGGTCAGGCCACTCACTCTGTTCTGCTTACATGCTCCCATCTGCCTGTGGTTTTAGATATTAGGGCGTGGACATTATGTCATGCCCTTTGCATGTTCTACCAAGGCCTAGATACCTTACTTGTGTTTTTCCGTCCTTCTGCTCGTGGGAGGCAAGGGGAGAGGGCCTGCTCTGTCCCGCGTGTGTCCTGTGTGACTGTGTTCCGCTTGTGAGAGGAACCAAGTCCTGCCAGTGGGACTGTCTCCTCCTACCCTCTTTAGTATTGCAGTTTTCTTTTTTATAGCTTGTTTCTGTGTTTTTGAGGGCAACATTTTTGTTATTTATGTCTCTGCTTAGCCTACAGTTTTCACTAAATGCTGATTAAGGTCCATTTGTTTATTTTTACAGAGTGCTTGATGGGTGTGGGAGACACACACACACAGACACAGATAACTTCTATATGCTGGCTCAGGCCCCAGGTGGCTGTGTCTGCTAGGCCTGGCCAGGCTGACGCTAGGAGTCGTAGCTCCACATGGGTGTCTCATGTAGATGGCAGGGCCCGGGCAGTTGGGCCATCTTCTGCTCCCTGCCTGGATGGATTGGCAGTGGAGCAGCCGGCGCTCAAACAGTGCTCATATGGGATACTGGTTTTGTAGGCAGTGGCTTAACTTGCTGTTTCCTGTGAGGTATGTTTACTGCTTATAACAGAGATGCAGGACAAAATTTACTCATCCCAATTTGGCTTTTGCTTCAGTAAAATATAAGTCCAGGAAAATAACCTCATAACCAGTGTTCCTGCCAAATTCTGAAAAGACGGTCAACCCCTCTACGAGTGCATCTCATGTCCCGTGCAGTGAGGCTGGTGCTGCTGCGCTGGGGCCTGACTTGCACTGCACAGCTGTTGGAGGCCATGTGTCCGGTACAGCTGTTAGGCTGACTCAGCTCAGCTGGGTTTGATCCTTGCTCCTTGCTTTGTTTCTGGTCGTGTGGGAGGCAGACATTTGTGATGCAGGTGTTTTAGAACTACCCCCTTCTCCAAGTGCGAAGAAAAATGTGGGAGGAATTGAGTTGTTGGAATATATATGGAGATCATTTTGAGCCAGTGGATTGTGGGAAGGTGGTGGTGACAGGAAAGATGCACTGAGACTCTGCACACCACTTTTTTTTTTTTTTTAAGATTAATTTATTTGAAATAGAGTATGAGCGTGCAAGAGCAACAGAGCATGCACTATCTTTAATCCACTGGTTCACTCGCCAGATGGCCACAATGGACAGAGTGGAGTGTGTGGCTTGGAGCTTCTCCTGGTCTCCCACATGGATGCAGAGGCAAAG